ATACACCTCTTTATTAAAAATCATATCCATATCCGTAAAAAATTGATTAGGAATACAGATCAGATAAGAGAGAATGCATGCGGATACAAAAAAGATATGAAAAAAGATATGAGGAAAACAAATAGAATTGAAAAATATGTAGGTCATGTTACATAACAGATGTCTAAATTTTAAATATAATAACTTTCAGCAATGAGAGTTCATTAATATGTTTGACATATTTGAAAAGCTAAGAATAGATCTTTGGATCATCAAAATTGATTTCAAATCCATTGATCTTATGGTCAACAATTTCAACCGTATAAGCTTTACAGATTCAAATATTCGGATACTTTATGGATATTTAACTCCGATACTTGTATCCATATCCTATCAGAAACAGATATCTGGTATCCATCTCCATGTCCTACCAAGTACGAATATGAATATATTCTCAGATATCCATATACATTTTTCATCCCTATATCCTACAATACTTAATATGATATAGTACAATATGATATACATATATGAAAAAATAATACATAGAATAGATCCTTATTCGATGACTTCGTCTAATTTCCCTTTTTCAGAACTGGAAAACTAGTAGTTGATTAATTAGGTGAAAAAGAGGAGACCATGTTTTCCGGAACTTGTCCTTATTGCAATAACATCTACTTCATCCCTATTATGATGCTTCACAAGTTTACTTCCAATACTTACAAATTCAGAAAATGTAAACGAAAAAGCCAAAATCAACACATTTCCCTGGTCATATTTTAGAAACAAGCACACCTGAAGTTGAATTATGACTATTTGCATACCACATCATCAAATTGGTCCCCGTTTTACACCCCCAAAATTATCATTCCAATGGACTCAACTCTATCTCCTACGCACTCCCGAACCAAATCTTCTAAACTACCAAACTCCTTTCACTTCTTTCTTTCTCTAAAAAGTTGGTGTAAAAGCTCTATAAGCAAAACCGCAGAGAAACCAAATGCACTCATACTACCAATTCCTATTAAGTCCACATCAAAGAATGAATTAGACGTACCAATATGAGTAAAAAAATTAGGGTTTAAGTTAAAACATCAAGTGAAGCCAACAGAAGCAATTCGTTATACCTTCAGGATCTAGGGTTTGGAAAAGGGGATCAATATCTTTGGGCAGCGAAGAGAAGGCAGAAGCGATCTTCGATCGCACAGCACTCAATCGCTTCCTCCAATCGTGAGGTATCTTCTTGCGATCCACCAGCCACTCTTCAACAAGATTTTAATCAATTCCCAACCAAAAAAAACAAAATAAAAATAAAAACTCATTTCAAATAAAGTTAAAGGAAATTAAGAAAAATTAAGAGATTTACCACCGAGGCGAGCGAAGGCGATGTCAATGGGGAGGTTTCGGATATCCGATTGATCCTGCATTATTCCTCTCTTTCTTAACCCCCGACGATGGAGGAGAGGCGGCTGCCGAGCACGTAGCCTTTCCTTCGAAACGGCGCACGTTAGATGAGGGTCTTAAACGAGCTGGACCTTTTGTGTTATGTTTAGCCCATCATTAGGCCTGCTTTTTATTAGAGATTGGGCTTTGTGTTTTGACATGTGGGCTTCAACGCGTAGACTTTCGCTCAGAATCATGGAAGGCTTACGCGCCGTCGTTCTCCTAGAAGCTCCACCTACGCTGCTTTATTATGTTTTTCCCCCTATGATATGTTCTTATGGATTCATTATAGATACGGATTCCCTATGGCCTATACTACGAGATGTAGGCGTTAATTATACCCTCTAAACTACTTTCTTAGTACTTATATCCTTTTAAGCACATGTGATATTGCTTCTCCGTTAAATTGAAATGTCATATGGACATTGTTGGCTGGGCAATTACTTTGTATGTCAACTGGTATGCAAAATGTGCATCCCACGTGATGCATGTTAAGAAATCATATAAGATGAAACATGTTAACATCAACTAATATTTTTAGTTACCAATATAAATATTTTTTATGAGATGTGAAAATCATGTTTTGTTGAATCCATTGTCTTATTTTTGCTATTTTTTATGAAAAAAAAAACGATGCATTCATGGTTAAGTCAAATTAAATAGATATTGACATGGTGTACAATATATTCTTTTGGAAAATGTTCCATGTCAAAATTTTCTAATTGCAATAACAGTCTAAGCTTATTATATAGTTTAAGCAATATCTAACCAAACTAAGCTTCTTATATTTAGAAGTCATTGCCATCGCAATCAAAAATAATGCACTTTATATCATCCATCAAAATATATATTTATGAACATGATTAATAGTTTAGTCATGACGTGGCAATAATATAGTAAGTTTAATCTAATTTAAGAAAAATACTAATAAAATATTACCCGTTCAATGGTGTTATTAACACCTATTTGCGCTGTGATTCGTAACACAAATTCCCCAGACAACATAGATTTTGATAAGTCTAAACTCTTTTAACTTAAAACTTGATTAAAACAAAACAACAAACAAAGTATCGAAGGCATAATACCTAAAATCAAGATAACTTAAGTATCTTAGACATAATACTTTAAATAAACATAAATAAGTCTCTTAAGCATAATTCTTTTTAATAATTTATTATGCCTCACTTTCTATATTTATCATTTTATCTTTCATGGTCTTTCTCTTGTTCATATCCTTTTTTTGAGTTGCCATGCCCTTTTGCTTTTGTGCCACGTCCTTGAAATCCTCATCTTCATCACCTTCGCATGCTATGATATCTTCTTGCTTGCAAATCTCTTACGCAATTATTCTCCCTTCCATTCTTTTTTCCTCATCCATCTTGTTCATTTTTACTAAGAAAATATATTCTTTGTTATAACAATTCATCATTTTTTGGTACATAGGTGATAGATATTCCTGTGTTGTATATTTGGTCAATTATTTTATTAAAATAACTGTATATTTGGTCAATTATTTTATTAAAATAACTTACTTTAAATATTACATGCTAGTAGTAATGTTTCTATGGTATTTTCCCCTCTTCATCAGATAAATCTATGTATTCCTCAGGTGAATAGTCAGTCAGAAATTTAGCTTTATCAAAAAGGGTAACAAACGCCTTGTTGATATCATCCTTTACTTCCAATCGCATGAGATACCCTGTTTAAAATATGTTATTGCGATTGTTATTGTTCTATTCTATGAAAAATAAAATTCTCTCACTTACTTGATTTCTCATTCTATGTCTTCCTTCTTGCATTTGTTGCATCTTGCTTTGCTATCTTTGATGAATACCTTCTTCTGGCAAATCTTGCATGCAATGTAGCAAGGTGATTCCAGATTGATTATTCATGATATCTCCGCATTGAAGGTACAAAACATATTCTTAAATAAAACCGTTACATTTTACTTTCATATTTTATTCTTATTTAGTTTTTCAATCTTCAATATAACAAATTTATTTCCTTCTTTTATTTCTTAAATCTTTTATATTTTGTTATTAGTACTCCAAAATTGATATAAGAAATATTTTGCACCACTTAAAGGATAAAAATACATATGATTGAAATGAATTATAAAGCAAATATCCTTATAAACTGGCAATAAAAAATTATTGATTCAAACTAAAGAAACTAAGATGGTAGATAGCATATATTGTCCAAATTAGAAATTACATGCTCCTTTAAGGAAACAAAAAATCATGGTTTGAGTAATTATCAGATGTGTGTACATAATAATCGCATTGGTGATATGTTAGGAAGAAAACAAATATAATAAGAGTAGTAAATAAATATGATAATTGCTTGATCATTAGAATCTTAACTATTACGAACCCTAGAAAACCTTATAAAATTTATATAAAAAATAATGTCCTAATGAAAATAGATTAATGTTATTCCTAGAGCAACAATCATAAGTTGGTATCAAATGGAATATATTATTAAATTCATATGGTCAAAATGGATCTATCAAAAATACAGCATAACATGATAAGTACTGGTGATTCCTTGGAGGATTTTATTAATATAATATATAATCTATCATATATGTTTTGTTAAACTTCTCATAGTCTCACAGTAATAATTTCCACCAATTTTATCTTGCAAAGGGTTATGAAGATCTCACATTCAAAGTTTTGGCAAATTCAGATTATAGAGCTCTTCTCTACATGAGTTATATTGCAAGTTTCTAATGATGAGCCGATACCACTAAACCAATATAAGTGATAACTTATTTATGAGACTAATTTTGAAATATACAATATTTGATTGATAATATCAAAAAAAACCCATAATAATGTACCGTTGTTGTGGTTGCAAATGATGAAATGATATCACTAACGTAACTCTTTTTTTTTTTCTCATCAGCTTGTTGGAGTTTATAGCACCAACTTCTCATGTTACTTTCCCTTTCCATTTATCTTACATTTAAATTATGTACTATTATAATACACACACAAATAAATAAATAAATAAATAAATAAGTGTACTCGATATATATAGTATATACCCCCTTGTTATATAGTAGTACTATTATAGAGGAGAGACCGACGAGATGAGGAAGACGAGAAACTATGGGGAGAACCTTGGTACAAAAGTTGCTGTAAATACAACTTGTGAGTGGATTGGCCTAATTTTGACCCGTTACATGTTCACACCTCGAACGAGGGTTAGAGCCTCAACCCCCTTCACCAACCCTATGTGATGTGAGGATCAGAGATTAGGCCACAGTCACTACCAGTGGCTTAAAGCAACTTTGGCTAGCAAGTGTTCTCCATTTTGCTGCGCATATACGGTTACGGTATACCGGTACGGAGTGGGTTATACTGTGGCAGCAGACGTTAGGTGGTTATATGGTCTGAGTAGTATACGGCAGTGAATATGTATATTAGCATATAGCGTGACCTGATGATAGGCGTACCGGTACGTATAGTGGGTATGATAGGTATTAGAGACGAGAGAGGAGAGATGGAGAGGAAGATATGGCGTAAGCTTGGCACCAAGCACAAATTGTGCTTGTAAATGATGTGTCACGTCATCCATCTTACTCATTACCCATGTGAATGTGGTCCCCACATTTGAATGCAGTGAGGGCGATGTGACCATCACTACCACTCACAACTTGTTCTGCTTGGGTACCAGCCAATACCATATTCTGTTCAGTGATGAGGTAGTAGCGTGTGTATGTAGCGCTATCGTATTATATAAGCCGTAGGTAGGTAGTAGGTAGGGTATAGGTATATAATATGACGTTATAGTTAGCTTTATGTCATTGTATCGTGATACTAGCGGTATATACTATATTGAAGGCTAGAATATATAAGTAATACTAGCTATATAGTTATTAGTAGCTATAGCGTATAGTATAGTAAATATATTACGTAATAATATATCTTTTCCTTTATTAAATATTTTAGTTTTAGTAGTTTTAACATTCTATAACAACATGGGCTTCTGGCCAATATCTGCGTCGCGAACAATTAAAGTTGTTGGTGGACTTTTTACAGGATGCAGAACTACCTGTATTCATTTTATTATTTATTTTTTGATTATGTAATTTGTTTAAAATAATAATAAATATATAAAAGAGTTTTACCTATGTGTCTATTTTCAGTCACATTTAAAATTACAACAATTGTTTCTCATTCGTCTTATCTTCAATTATTTGACCTTCTTTCTCTACAAATTCTCCCCATGGTGTCAATGTCATGTGAACGAAGTGGGACGTGGGGGCCACCCACGTGAAGCAAACCGCGTGAAGAGAAAAAACGGAGCCCACGAACCGATTTCCACGTTCTCAAGCCCACGAATCGCAACCTATAAAGAGCAGGGCTAGGGTTTCATCATTTTGTGCAAAAAAGAGGGTTTGTACAGGAGAAAAGTCGGCTAGTTTTTTTCTGTTCTTTGGCAGCATGCAGGCGCAAGAGCAGAATGTGAAAAGTTTACAACGGCTTTTGTTATGGTTTTGAGCATCCATTGGTGGAGATATTTGTAAGAGATTTGAGAGTTTGTGTGAGGGTTTAATTTGTATGATTGTAAATCCTATTTGTATTCTTTCTCTCTAATAGTAGATCTCCTCCCTCCTTGCCCCGTGGATGTAGGCAATTTATCGAACCACGTAAAATTGGTTGTCTTGCTATTTGTATGATTTGTAATAGCTTACTTAGGTTCCCTCGACAAGTCAGTCCTAGAACTGATGAGAGGAAGAGCTGACATCCTACTTTATTGAGATATTTTGCTTTTGGTTCTTATTTCCTTGGTGAAACGGGAATTCATATTATGATCTTACTCTCTTGTTGTGCTACAGAGGTGTTGTTGAAATTTTTGCTACGCGCAACAAGCGGTATCAGAGCCCAGATTTCAGATCTAGGGTTTTAGACTACGTGCATGAGAGAAATCACTGCAGGCTTTGTGCAAGCAGGGGCTATTGAAGGGAGCTAAGAGTGGTAAAGTGGAGTTTTGTGAGTACTGTATACTTAGCAAGAAGACAAAGGTGAAGTTTGGGACTGCTATTCATAGGACAAGGGGCA